TTTGGAAAGAGGAATACATTTTCCTAAACCATATACAAACATCCTATTTAAAAATCGTTGCCTTGTGTAAACTATGTTGAAGTGAATACGTCATGTGAATCCCCCTCATAGCCATTTTTTGACAGCGTCATCAACAAATAGAATTTCTAATTATGCATAATTTATTAAGCCATGCCATTTTAAAGTGTCAGTTGGATAACATTTTTAATTATTTCGAAATTAATCAGAAAATGTTATAAAATATCAAGAAATCAGCATATGTCATACGCAGTCACATTTACATATTTCGGCTATGAGTAAACAAATTTCCTCCGAAAAAAAACCTAAACCTACCTTAACAAATCTTTCAACAAATTTGAAACGATGTTAATTTGATTTTCGGCGAAGCATAAAAAATTCAAATTTGCCTATTAAATATTCAAATTATTATTATTTTTTCAGCTACTGTTTTCGTTATAATGCTGCTGCTGCTGTTTGCCCAATGTCTTGGCAGATTCATTTGTGATCTGTGATTTCATTTGTTTGGTTATTGTTATGGGAGTTTTTTTTTAATAAAAATTAATGGGATTTGTTTTTGAGCGATTATTTTAATCCATTGTATTGTACTCTTGAAGTAGCTTTTGATTTTTTAATTAGGCCTATTACAAATTGTAAGGTTGTCAGAGCTATGATTTAGTTGCCATCATAAATTTAGCTTTGAACAAGGACGTTGGCGTATGGCGGATTACAAATCGGCTTATTGGTAATAAAATGGAATTTATTTTTATTATTAATATAATCTGTAGCATGAGGAAGTTAACCACTGCAAGTTTTGTAAATTTGTCGGAACAAATAAGAAAAATATCCGGAAAAGTAGTCAGACATCTCAATTTCCCAGTTTTGGTCGTTTTTTTTCCCGCAAGCATGTTTTGGAGGCCATAACTTCTAAACCAGATGACCGATCGTTTTGAAATTTTTTGATCTTGGAAGAAGAATATCTCACATTTAAACATATAACAAATTTTGATATTGTCTCTAACCAAATTCCAGAGATATCCTGAAAAATAATCAATAACTGAATTTTTCCTAATTTGGCAATTTTTCCCGCAAGCATATTCTGAAGGCCATAACTTCTAAACCAGATGATCGATCGTTTTGAAATTTTTTGATCTTGGAAGAAGAATATCTCACATTTAAACAAATATAAAATTTTGTTAATGGACCTCATCAAATTCCAGAAGTATCGTCAAAAATGCCTACTAACACATTTTTCATATTTTGGTTATTTTTCCCCGCAAGCATATTCTGAAGGCCATAACTTCTAAACTGGATTACCGATCGTTTTGAAACTTGTTAATTTTTGAAGAAGAACATCTCAGATTTAAATAAATGTCAAATTTTGGTAATGTCGCTCATCAAATTCCAGAGATATCCTGACAAATAATCAATAACTACATTTTTCCTAGTTGGCAATTTTTTTGCTCTATAATTTTCTCGGGGCCATAACTTCTGAACTAGCCGGAGATACTTTTTGAAATTTGTTGAATTTTGAAGAATAACATCTGTTCTGTACATAAATATCAAGTTTTCTTAATATAGCTGACCAAATTTTTGAGATATCGTGACAAATTATCAAATAACTGAATTTTTCCTATTTTGGCCAATTTTTTGCGCAATCATTTTCTAGGGGGCATAACATCCGAACTGGACGGAGTATCGTTTTGAAATTTGTATATTGAATTTTGTCGCCGACCAAATTCCATAGATATTGCAAAAAAATCCAAAAACATCTTTTGGAAAATGTATACAAATGTCAAGAAATTTGTTGATTTTTGAAGAATAACATCTGTTATGTATACAAATGTAAAATCTTCTTAATGTCGCCGACCAAATTCCAAAAATATTGGCAAAAATATCCAAAAACTAAACTTTCCTATTTTGGAAAATTTTTGAGCAATCATTTTCTAGGTGTCATAACTTCTGAACTAGATTACCGATCCTATTGAAATTTCTGGATTATTGAAGAGGAATAACTCTTATTTAAATAAATGACAATTTTTTTTTAATGTAGCTTACCAAATTCTCGAGATATTGCCCAAAATGTACACTTACTCAAATTTTTCAATATTGGACATTTTTGCTCTATCATTTTCTGAGGACCATAACTTCCAAACTAGCTGGTGAATCGTTCTGAAATGTCTTGATTTTTATAGAAGAACATTTAACATTTAAATAAATTTCAAATTTTAGTAATTTAAGCGACAAAATTCCAGCGATATCGCAAAAAATACGTAAATACCCAAATTTTTCAATTTTGGGCATTTTCTTCGTTGTCATTTTCTGTGGGTCATAACTTTAAAACCGATCGGTATTTCAAACTTAATTGACTTGATTTTTATAGGAGAAAGTCTTTTCTTTAAATTATTGTACATGAAGTGGATGTGATCGGAAAAAATACCAGAATTATTGCCATAAATATTCAAATATCTCACTTTTCCAATTTTGGGTATTTTTGGCGCACACATTTTCCAGAGGTCAAAACTTTCAAAAAAGTTGGTCGATTTTTATGAAACCAATTTTTATTGAAAGAATTAAAACTGATCTTTAAAATAAAGCCAAATTTGTATGTCATTGCTAAAGAAATTCCAGAGATATGACCAAAAATATAAGCATTACTGAAATTTTCAATTTTTGGGCAATTTTTGCGCAATCATATTCCAGAGGTCATAACTTCCGAATTATTCGGTTTAATATATTGAAATGAATTTATTTTGAAAGAAGGAAAATTAACCTTCAAAATAAACCAGATTTTTATTACCATTGCTGGGAGAATATCTGAGATATGGTCAAAGATGTAATAAACCCCCAATATTCCATTTTTGGTATTTTTTGCGCAATCATGTTCCAGAGGCCATAACTTTCGAATTATTTAGTGTATTGTAATGAAATCACCTGATTTTGAAAGGATGACCTGTTATTCCCCAAATAAGGCCGAATTTTATTACCATAGCTGACCAAATATCTGAGTTAACGCCAAAAATGTAATAATACCCGAATTTTCCATTTTTGGGTATTTTTTGCGTAATCATATTCCAAGGGCAATAACTTTCGAATTAGTGGGAATATTGTAATGAAATGACTTTATTTTGGAAGATGTAAATCCAATCTTTAAAATAAATCTCAATTTCATAACAATCACTTGCCACATATCAGAGATATCGCCAAAAATGTAATAATACCAAAATTTTCCCGTTTTGGGTATTTTTTGCGTAATCATATTCCAGAGGTCATATCTTCTGAATTAGTCGGTGTATTGTAATGATTTGACTTTATTTTGGAAGAATGACATCTTATCTTGAATATAAAGCCAGATTGTATTACAATTGCTGACCAAATATCTGAGTTATCGCCAAAAATTCAACAATGCCTTAAATTTCCAGTTTTGGGTATTTTTTGCGTAATCATATTCCAGACGCTATAACTTCCGAATTAATCTGTGGATTATAATGAAATGGATTGATTTTAAAAGGGAGATATCTGATCTTCGAAATATAGTCCAAATTTATTAAAAATGCTGACAAAATATTTGAGATATCGCCAAAAATGTAATAATACCCAAAATTTCCCGTTTTGGGTATTTTTTGCGTAATCATTTTTCAGAGGCCATAACTTTCGAATTAGTCGGTGTATTGTAATGAAATGACTTGATTTTGAAAGCTTGACATCTTATTTTCAAAACAAGGCCAATTTTATTACAATTGCTGACCAAATATCTGAGCTATCGCCAAAAATGTACTATTACCGTTATTTCCCAATTGTGGGTATTTTTTGTGCAATCATATTCCGGAGGCCATATCTTCTGAATTAGTCGGTGTATTGTAATGAAATTACTTTATTTTGAAAGAACGAAATCTAGTCTTCAAAATATAGTTGAATTCTAATACAATCGCTTGTCAAATATCAGAGATATCGCCAAAAATGTAATAATACCCAAATGTTCCAGTTTTGGGGATTTTCGCGCAATCTTTTTCCAGAGGCCATAACTTCCGAATTAATCGGTGCATGGTAAAAAAACAACTTAATTTGGGTAGAAGAACATGTAAACTTTAAATTTCTCTTGAATTATTTTGATGTAGCTGTACAAATATCAGAGTTATGGGAGAAAGTTTTCATGTGACGAAAATATTTCAATTTTGGTCGTTTTTCAATTTTTCGATTTTAGGCTTCATAACTTTTGTATTAGTCGGCTTATCAATATGAAATAACAGGATATTGAATAAGGGATAACTGTTTTTTAATTTCAAACCTACGTGAGCAGCGCCACGAGCGTTAAGCGTTAAAGCTTTCATTGTGTTTTGCCTTTAAAACGTGTCATTGAGTATTATTTCTATCGTGAAATAAAATTTTAGCCTATACTAATTGAATTTTACCGTTAATTTTTGTTTAAACATGCTAAATAATATAACCTTAATGCTGGTGCAGAATTTCCAATTTACCCACAAAATTTCCATCATAAATTAATAAACAAGGCGACATAAAACAAAAAACATGAAATCGTGACCATCATTTTAAATTAACATCGAAGAAGAAGAAGAAGTCTGGCTTTTAACATTGGCTGCTTTTTTTAAAGACTTCGTGTTGTTAGTTTGATAATTGTTGAAAGAAAAAAAAATATTTAAACAATAATTGTGTTTGTTCTTCATCACAATTCTAATAGCAAAGATTTTTTTCTAGATTTGATTCGCAGCAAATTGTTAACAGCTGAAGCCTTGATCTTAATTTCAAAACAAAGTATACTTTGAACTGAAAGATATTGACGCTTGAAGTTGTCCAACAAAAGGCAAAAATTGAGGGGATTTTAAAAATCCCCAATGGTTAATTGATGATGAATTATATTTCGATCACATAACCTTACTTTTACTATCACTCCTGGTCATTATTATTATCTTTATCATATTTCTTTTTTCCTCTTACCACTCTCACTTATTAACATCCTTTGTTGCCTTTGTGTATCTTTCCAGGAAGGTAATTGTGAATCTTTGCCCCACTATATTGGGCGCACAAATGCCGCTGGCGTAGATTTGAATCGTGATTTTCCTGATCGCTTGGATTCGCAACAACAAATCCAACAGAAATCATTGAATCGACAACCGGAAACTGCTGCGATCATTGAATGGGTACTGAACAAACCATTTGTATTGTCGGCCAATTTCCATGGCGGTGCTGTGGTAGCCAGTTATCCATATGACAATTCATTGTAAGTATGAGTTTTTTTATTACTATTATTATTGTCTAAAACTAATATAAAAAACCTAAGCATTAAGGGAGGTTCACATGATAGAAATTATTTTACGATTTATGAGCAAATGAGGAAGTTAATTACAGGGGTTACAAATGTCGATAGGGAAATAAATTACAATTTTTCAGGGACCTAAAGACCTGAAGGTATTAAATTGTTGCCCTAATATGAAGTACAGAGTCTACTCGGTTATAATCAATTTATTCCTTGACGATACCTTGATTTTTTATGAAGTTATGGCCTCCAGAAAATGTTTGCAATGAAAGTACAGAAAACCATATTTTTTGGGTAATCGTCAACTTTTTCCGATAACTCAAGTATTTGATAAGGTACATGCTTATATTTTAATTATAATTGGAAGCTAAGATGTTGCATTTCCAGAATCAGGTTATTTTATTAAAATACACGGACTACTTTAGAAGTTATGCCCTCCGGAAAATGACTGCGCGAAAAAGTTTTGCTACTTAGAAAATCGAGACTCTTGGCAACTTTTTGCAATAACTCAAATTTTTGGTTGAACATAGGTATTAAATTAAATGCCAATGTAAAGGAGATCCAATCCACTCTTCATAGTTAAGTTATTTCATTAAAATAAACCGACTACTTTAAAAGTTATGACCTCCTGAACATGATTACCAAGAAAAATCTACAAGTTGCAAAATGGAGATTCTTGGGATTTTTTTTTCAAATAACTTGAATATTTGATCCGGCATTACAGATATATTATATACTAATTTAAAGCAGAGATATTCTTCATAAAAAAACAAGTTATTTTAACACCAAATACCGACTACTTCAAAAGTTATGACCTCCTGAACACGACTACTCAGAAAAATCTACAAGTTAGAAAATATAGATTCTTGGGTATTTTTTGCAATAACTCAAATATTTAGTTGGACACAGGTATTAAATTGTATGCCGGTTTAAACTAGAGATACCCTGCTTCCATATCAAGTTATTTTTATTACCAAATACCGGTTACTTAAAAAGTTATGACCTTCAGAAAATGATTGCACAACAAATTCTACAAGTTAGAAAATAGAGACTCTTGTAAACTTTTAGCAATAAATTGAATGTTTGGATGGACATAGGTATTAAATTGTATGTCGATTTAAAGTACAGATGCCCCGCCTTCAAAATCAAGTCAATTCATTACCAAATACCGATTACTTCAAAAGTTATGACCTCCAGAAAATGATTGCACAACAAATTCTACAAATTAGAAAATAGAGACTCTAGAGAACTTTGTGCAAAAAATCAAAATTTTAATCTGGAATGGGAAGTATATAGTATACAAATTTAAAGAAGAGGTATTCTTCTTTCATAAACAAGTTATTTCAATACCCAATACTGATTACTTTAGAAGTTATGGTCATTTAAAAGTGATTACCTAAAAAAATCAGCAGTCTGAGAAATTTGGTTCTTCTTTAAATTTCTTCAATATCTTGAGTATTTGATTATCTGTCTTCAATCAATATATTAATGTATATGTACCCGGTTTTAAGAGAGGTTACCGATACTTTGAACGCCATATTTGATAGTGTAATTTGGCTCTGTATTTTTCTTGTCATATGTAACCGGTTACTTATTTTTCCCAACGATACAAATAGATTATGCATTACGGTTTTTGTATTTTATCACGATATATTTCAATATTACCCAATAACGCCAATTTGAAACCGATTATTCATCTATATCGAGACGATTACCCGGTTTTATGATAGTTTAACGCTATTTTAGAACGACATTTTTGTTTTTTGATAGTGTAATTTTGTTCTCTATTCTATTAGACTTAATTTTGTAATATTTAGAGATTTTTTGAAAACGGTTACTTATACCATTAAACCGGTTACTTATTTTTTCTAGCTACTTTTCTAAATTTTTCATCAGAGTTTTTCATATAATATCAGTTCCTATATAAATGTTGTTCAAAAATAAGGCTTTTAACACAGTTTTGCTCAATCAGAGACGGTTACCCGTTTTCTGAGACCGGTTATAGGGCCCTTTAGAAATGTATTTTTAAAATTTTAAGCAAGCAATATTGTTTCCAATCGTGGTACACATGATTTTGTAATATTTAGTGATGTTTCAGAAACGGTTACTTGTTATGTGAAACCGGTTACTTATTTTTTTCCAACTACTTTTATGAATTTTTCTTTATAGGTTTTCATTTTATATTGTTTTTTATATAAATATGACTGAAAAATTTAAATTTTAACGCAGTTGAATACGATTACCCGTTTTCTGATACCGGTTATAGGGTATTTTAGAAATATATTTTTCAAAGTTTATGCCAGGAATAATGTTTCCAATCGTAGTAGAGTAGATTATGTAATATTCAGAGGGGTTTCAAACCGGTTACTTGCCATATGAAACCGGTTACTTTCAGCCATTTTAATAAAGTTTCCATGTGAGTTTTTTATATTATACTGATTTTTATAAAAATATTTTTTGGAAAAAAAAATTAATCCATTTATTGTTTAACCAGAGGCGGTTACCCGTTTTCTGAGACCGGTTATGGACTCTTTTAGAAAATAATTTTGTATGTTTAAGCAAGTCAATTTGTTTAGAACCATAGAAAAAGTATTTTTTATGTTTTAGATCTATTTTGAAAATGGTTACTTATTCTATAAAACCGGTTACTTATTTTTTCTAGCCATTTTTATAAAATTTTCATTGGAATCTTTCTTTTTTATATATTTTATATAAATATGGTTTTAAAAAAGTAACTTTTAACCCAGTGTTGCTTAATCAGACACGGTTACCCGTTTTCTGAGACCGGTTAGAGGGTCTTATAGAAATGTATTTTTTTTTTTCATTTTAAGCAAGCAATATTGTTTCCAATCGTAATAGACCTGATTTTGTAATGTTTAGAGGTGTTTCAAAACCGGTTACTTGTTATGTGAAACCGGTTACTCGCTTTTTTTCAACCACTTTTTTGTAGTTTTCATTTAAATTTTAAGATAATAAGTCTTTTTTATATAAATCTTTTAAAAAAATAAACTTTAAAACCAGTTATTGTTGAATCAGACACGGTTACCCGTTTTCTGAAACCGGTTATAGGGTTTTTTAGAAGGGATTTTTTGTTGTTTAAATGTTTTATTTGATATTATGAGTATTAAATTGGATAGTTTCAGCCTTTTAACTGGTCTTTGCAACCGGTTACTTTTAATATAAAACCGATTACTTGATATATTTTTTTTATTATTTTAACAATTTTTTGTTTATTTGTCCCATTTTTTCAGAGCCCACCGCGAATGCTGTGAGGACAGTTTGACACCCGATGATCGTGTTTTCAAATTGATGGCCCACACCTATTCCGATAATCATCCGATTATGCGCAAGGGTAATAATTGTAATGACACCTTTACCGATGGCATTACCAATGGTGCCCATTGGTATGAGTTAAACGGGGGCATGCAAGATTTCAATTATGCTTTTAGTAATTGTTTCGAATTGACCATTGAATTGTCCTGTTGTAAATATCCACCTGCCCATACCCTGCCAGCCGAATGGCAACGTAACAAACATAGTCTGTTGAAACTCTTAAAATTGGCCCATATCGGAGTGAAAGGTGTGGTTAAAGATGTCAATGGTTATCCCATACATGATGCAACAATTGTGGTTTCCGGTTTGGAGGAGAAGCCGATACGTACAACACGACGCGGCGAATATTGGCGTCTGTTGACACCAGGAATCTATAATATACAGGCATTGGCTTTTGGGTAAGATTTCATAAGATTTTGAATTGTTGTTGGTGGTTATGATTTCCTTATATGTAACAATTTTATGTTGTTTTTTTGTTATGAGAAGTAAAAAATTGTATAATAAACGATTAAACTTGTTTCTTCTTGTCTCTTTTTTGCAGCTACCAGGCCAGTGCTCCACAACAAATCCATGTAACAAATGATAAAAATGTGGCTCAACGTTTGGACTTTACCTTGTCACCGATTGAGACCAACTATGATGGTATAAGCAGTTTTTACAGTCCCTACTTTTTTAGACATTAAATTTTGAGTCTGGTTATTTGATTTTTATTTCATTCCATTTTTGGTTTTCTTTTCTTTTTTTCCATTTTTTGTTGGACTCCAAAACATGGTTTTAGTCTTTACTTAACGTTTTTGGTTGTTGTTTTACAAAAAAAAAACTGTGAAACCGATAAAAAACGTTTACGTTTTAATTGTTGTTATTTAAGATTACACATACACACATACATATATATAAACACACACCCACAAAGCATTTGCACAAAAACACCCACACGGAATCTCTGTCTTACTGTCACACACTTTATGTATTCTTATTCACATTACATACATGATTATGAGTTATTATTAAAATATTGGAATTTTAATTACGGTTCTGTGATTATTTCAAATCTTAAATTAATTTTTTTTTTCAAAATTCCCTATATTTAATTGCCCCACAAAATAAACTTGATGTGTGGCCAGGCCACTTCATGTAATTGTCAATCACATGGCATTGGCATATGTCAAGAACACATCTCTTGAATAATTTGACAAAGCACATAAAGTGGCCTGGCCACACATTAGGCCTCCCTAAATAACGCAGCTTTTAGGGGGATTTTTGGACAAATTTAATAAAAATCTTCCCTTGAAATTTGGTAAAAATGGTAATGAAATAATTACGGGCAGCTTAAGGAAAGCAGCGATTTGTTTTAATCATGGAACCTTGTTTAATTATTTTTCTTTTTAACTTCTAAGAGAGAAGAGAGAAATATGTCAAGTGATATACCGTTGTTTATGAGGACTCTTAAACAACGCGATCAAAATGATGTTATTCTTGAGTTTTTATTTTTTTAAATATTTCGTTTGATGTTTGATCATTTATAAATTAATAAAAATAATTTATTTTAAATAAAAAATAAGCCCGAAACACAATCAACAATTGGTTTGGCATTGCAAACACAGTCAATATCCAGTAATGAATTTCGTCAGGGCCAAAATTCTAAATAAAAATTGAAATGAGCAAAAATTATACCTGAAATGTTCATTTTCGATGGATTCTGGTCCAATTTGCGCACCAAAACACATTCATTGTTGGAAACAAAAGTGGCAATGCCTTAGAAAACGCGTTCATTTTGTTTCAGCCCTATGATTATTATCAATAATTACCAGAATACGGCATATTCTCATAGAAATAATAATGTTTAGAATTCTCAGGGAATTTCGGTATAGATTTTATCTACACCAACACTGAAAAATATATTAGATGAAGTTCAGAAAAATAACTGAACTAAATACTTCCTTAATTTTTGGTTATTATCTTTCACCGACCATAACTTTCAAATTTTTGAGTAACCATAACAAAAAATCAAAAATTTCACAAAAATACAAATATTTTCGAATTTTACAAAGTTTACGTGCGTCTGTAATTTCTAGAGGCCATAACTTCTGAAGTAATTGATGTATCGTGGAAATTAAGCTTTATTCTAAAAGAAGAAAGTCTAGTCATTGATATCATAATGAGTTTTAGGGATGCACCTATGAAAATATCAGAGATTTTGGAAAAATAAGACCAATACCTTAAATTATCATGGCATTAGATTTTCGCCGTAGTTACTTTCTTGAGGCTATAACTTCTAAAGTTGTTGGAGTTTTTTGATGATTTTTTTTAATTATTAAAGAGGAAGGCCTACTGTTACAATTCATAACAAATTTTGTGGTTGAACTTAGAAAAATAACTGAGATATTATACAAATTAGATAGCTAACGGAAAATTTCATTACATCGGAATTTTTCAGTAATCAATTTCTGGAGGCAATAACTTTTGATGTGGTTAGTGTATCGGGATAAAATAACTTGGGTTAGGATGAAGAAGATTTAAACTTTAATATGATAACCCCTTTTATTATAGATATAGAAAAAATATAGGAGTTATTTAAGCTTTTTTAGAGGTACCCAAAATTTAAAAAAAAATTGATATTTTTTAAATCAGTTTCTAGGGGCCATTACTTTTGAAGTAGTAAACCACTGCTTTTATGAACATTATTAAGGTGAGGTATACGCTATGGAATTGAGATCGAGTGGATTTAGAAGTCGAAACGAGCTTTAAGTCTTTTGCGGTTCAAGCCCGAAAGGAACGGTTCATTATTTTATCTAAAGGCGCACACACACGATCATTTTGGAATGTCAGCTCTTTTATCGATTACTGATTGTCCAACAACTTGGGATATTTTCGTGTTTACCTGACGAACATGAGAGGCCACACTATCAAATTAGCAAAATTTAGGCAAAATTTTCATTCAAAAGTAATATGTGTACACCGCTTAAGGCCGTGTTTACATTATATGTGACAAATAAACAGCGTAGGCATGTTTACCCGTAAACATAGCATAAATCTCTTCTCTCTCTTAAAAATAAAAATTAATTTTTAATATAATTTTTTTTAATAATGATTCGGTTTATAAATATACATATATGTAACCAATATTAGTACAAAACACATATATACTACATATATATAAACATTAAACACTTATGAATAGTAAAGCACTTCAAATTATTTACCATATGTTCATTTCATTTCTCACACTGTATGTATGCTCTCTGAATTCTATCACACACCGACAGCACTCACACTTGCGCTCTCTGACACATAACGGCACCACATGCATTGTTATTACTCCACTTCTCCATCACTCTGACTAGTACACACCTGTTACACTCTCTGCATTTAGTAAACTCCGTTACAGACATTGAGGGAGAGAGAGAGACTGATAATCTCTCACTCTCTTTCAAGCTCTACCATATTCAAATAACTGTGTTTTGTGACAAATCACAAGCAGCTTGTTATAAATGCCGTGTTTACATCATTGTCATGTATGTTACTTAAGACACCAGGCCACACAGCTAATTGGTGTTACTAAATTAGAAAAAAAATATAAATCAATGAAAATGAAGACATTTTGAGTTTTTAATTCGGTATTTGGACTAGCTTGATTAATTTAGGAAATAATTAGTGGCAATTATGTAATCATGGCATTATTATTTCGTTCCGTGTTATTATTTTTTTCTAGCTACAAAATTGGCTTAATAGTAATTTTTTGGGCATTTGTATATTATTTTATGTTATATATTTTTTTGTTTATTTTTTATGTTCTTTTCTGCAAAAATGTTGTAAATTATTGTACATGTTTTGTTTTTTCGTTTATTTATAGTTTTATTTTTTGTTTTTGTTTATCAAATATAATGCTTAAATAATTGTATAGCAAACGACAAAAAAATAATAAATTAAAATAAATTATCTGTAATAAAAATAATTAAAAAAAAAACAAAAACCGTACGCACATAATTATATTGCAAGAGAAAAAAAATTAAATCCTATCATATGCATACCATATTTGAACTATATAATAATAAATTCAAATTTTAACTAATTATTGTATTTGTAAAAATATATATTAAAAAAAAAATTACCAATTATTAATTATAAATTATATGTTATTCACATTGGTTTTGTTTGTGTTTTATTGTTATTAGTTTTTTTTTATTTTATTAATTGCGCAAAAAATTGAAAAAGCACCACAAAAAAAAATCATATTTTCCATCACAATTTGATATGTGGCCAGTTACCTTAATGACGATTGGCAACTCATGCAAACTAAAGGCCAGTACACACTATCAGTTTTAAATGACAAATTTTTTTTATAAGATATCGGAGTATATTTTAAGCACTAATATTTTTCTTGATGACTGATATGTGGCAAAAGGAAAGGTTTGTTTTTCAAATTAGTAGAATTTGTTCAGAAGTGTCATTCAGGAGGGAAAGTGTGTACTCAACTTTATTATTGCAATTTATAAGTAAAAGTACATTTAGAAAGATTCACATATTTGTGTATATAACTGATCAAATATCAAAGATATGAGAAAAATATACAAAATTCCTCTAATTTGTCACTTGGTCGTATTTCCTCGGTAATCATATTCTAGAGGCCATAACTTGACAAATAGTTGATCGATTTTTTATGAAATTACTAAATATTGAAAGAAAATACCCGATCTTCAAATCGCATGCCCACATTTTTGTACTTAACTGAGCTAATATCGGAGATATGGGGAAAATATAAATTTTTGTCTATTTTATCACTTGTTCGAATTTTTTTGGTAATCATATTCTAGAGGCCATAACTTTGCAACTACTTGATATATTTTTATGAGGATGTTTAGTATGGAGAGAGCACAATCTGATCTTGAAATATATATCAGTATTTATGTATGTACCTGACCAAATATCGGAGATATTGCCAAAAATGAACAATTGCTTTGATTTTGCGGTATTTGAGATTTTCTACGTAATCAGTTTCTAGAGCCCTTAACTTTCAAAGTTGTGGGCAGATCTTTAGGATATCATCTTATATTGAAAGAACAAGTTCTGTTCTTCAAATTGAAACCAAGAATTTCGGATGTAACTGTTCAAATACCAGAGATTTTGAAAAACTTGGAAGATAGCAATGATTTTCCGATTTTTGACATTTTCTCGGTAATGATATTCTAGAGATCATAACTTTGAAAGTAGATGGTAGATTTTTATAAGAATGCATAATATTGGGAGAGGATAATCTGACCTTGGAATAGGTGCTAGAATTTATCAATGTAGCTGATCAAATATCGGAGATATTTCGAAAAATTGACAATTTCTTTGATTGTGCGATATTTGAGATTTTCTTCGTAATCAGTTTCTAGAGCCCATAAGTTTCAAAATGGTGGACATATATTTAAAATATTTATGTTATTTTTAAAGAAGAATTCTGCTCTTCAAATTAGCGCCAATATTTCTTATTTCAACTCATCAAATACCAGAGATATCCCAAAAATTGGAAGATGACTTTGATTTTCCCCATTTTTGGCCTTTTCTCGGTAATGATTTTCAAGAGGCCATAACATTGAAAATTGTCGGTAGATTTTTATGAGAATGCATAAAATGAGAGAGGACTATCGGTTCTTTGA